TCAGTACCTGTGAATTCAACTTCCATACCTGCAAGTAATTCATTCTGCTTTGACTTTTGAGAGTCAAGCTTATCATCAAAACGAACACTGATTGGTTCTTCCATAATCTGTGTTTCTGTATTGTATACTCTGTATCCTCTTGAGCATTCAGAGTATCCTAACATAATACACTTCTGTGCTTTAGAGTCAAACTTGTTCAAATAATTTTTTGTATTCAAAATAAAGCAAGTACATCCAAATGGATGAAAATAAGAAATGTTAGGCTTTCTGTTCTTCCACAATTCATATGGAGTCTTTTCCAGAATAGGTCTTATAGAGATTCTATTCTGAATGTAGCACGCTGTGTTTATTGCCTCTGCCCAGAAGATCTTAGCAACGTTAGTCTCGTTGATCATGGTTCTGGCCATTTCTTGCAATGTTCTGTTCTTTCGTTCTACAACTCCATTTTGCTGAGGAGTTCTAGGACAAGAGAAATCATGCAGAATGCCTTTGTCATTAAAAAATGATTCAAAATCTTTGTTTTCAAACTCTCCACCATGATCACTTCTGACTTTGACGATTCTAAGATCCTTTTCATTCTGAACTTGGTTGCAGAAGGTGACAAACATAGAGTGTGACTCTTCCTCGTGTCTTAAGAACTTTACCCATGTCCATCTGCTATAGTCATCTACGATTACTAACCCATACTTCTTGCCACTGACTGAAGCAGTTTTAACTTGTCCAAATAAGTCAATGTGCAGAAGTTCTAATGGTTTAGAGGTGGAAACAACGTTTTTAGATTTGAAAGCTGGTTTTGCAAACTTGCCTTTCTGACATGCTTCACACAGAGGATCTGAATTGAACTTCAGGTTAGGAAGTCCTCTGACCAGATTGAGTTTGTTAATTTGAGATATTCTTCTCATACTAACATGTCCCAATCTTCTGTGCCAGATCCATTGCTCGTTGTTAACAGACAGAAGACACTTTACATTCTGACTTTTCAGTTCAGAAAGTTTGATTTTATAAATGTTGTTTCTCCTCTTTCCATTAAACAGGATAGTTCCATCTTTCTGACTAACAGCTTTGCATGAATTTTGATTAAAGATTATATCGTAACCGTTATCACTTAATTGACTTATGGATAACAGGTTATGCATTAATCCATCTACTAATAAAACATTACTTATATAGGGAAGATTTTCATTACCTACTGTTCCAGAGCCAATGATCTTTCCCCTCTGATTGCCTCCAAAGCCTACGTGGCCTCCAGGCTTAAGTTCCAGGCTTTGGAACATATGCCTTCTTCCCGTCATGTGTCGTGAGCAGCCAGAGTCCAGGTACCATGACTGGTGTTTCTGCTTTGCTGCTAAAGATATCTGCAACATGTATTATTTTATCCTTAGGTACCCATATTTTCTTGGGTCCTGATTTGTTAGTTTTACCAAAACTCTGGTTGAATTTTGGTTTGACAGAATAATTACTACTAGTATATTTGATGTCGTGTGTGTGCCTATATACAAAGTGTGAGTTAAGTGGAGTTCGTTTTATAACTAAATCCATGGCATTCTTTGGTGTAGGTACCTTACCTAGGTATCATATTCCTTTTCTGCCATTTCTGCTAACTCCATAGATTATTGAAGCCATTTTGCTTCTATCTATGTTCTTAGCTAGAAACTTCTGAAAGTTGTGATCATACTCCTTGATGATCTCATCAGCACTGTTGGGAGTTTCAGGAATTGTTTCATTCTGAGAGTTTTGTAATAGATTTTCTAATTTTGAAATTTTATTTTTTAACTCAGAATTCTCCAATTTGAGACTCTCAGTTTTATCAGAGTCAGAAGAAAGATTCCTTTTCAGGTTTCTGAATTTGACTCTGATCTGCTGATATCTTTCCAGAATTTCATTAAGGCTTTCAGCTAGTTCAACCTTAGTAAAGTTAATAGCAAAGTCAGGAAATACTTCTTTTGTGTCTGATTCAGAAGCTTCACTATCTTCTGTTATGTTTGCCATGAGAGCTATGTTTGCTCTCTCATCATCTGATTCTGAGTCAGCTTCAGATGTGTCAGAGTCATCCCATGTAGCCATGAGACTTTTATTCTTTTCCTTGCCAAACTTCTTTTTGGGATTTTCCCTCTGAAGCTTTGGGCAATCACTCTTGTAGTGTCCTTGCTCGTTACATTCATAGCAGATGATGTCTTTGTTGTTTGGATTTCTGCTTCCTGGGGAGCCTTCAGATCTTCTGTGTCCAGAGGAGGATTCTGACCTTCTGTATCTGGAGGAGGATTCATTCTGATTCTCTGATCTTCTTGGATTTCTGAACATTCTTTGCCTCTGCTTCCACAGTTGGTTCACCCTTCTGGAGAGGAGAGACAGTTCATCTTCTTCTGATGAGGACCCATCAGAGGTTTCTTCTACAGCCTGCAAAACCTTGGAGTCAGATTTTCTATTAGATTTTAAAGCTAATGGCTTACCTTGCTTTTGAGGTTCATCAGCTTCTAGCTCTATCTCGTGACTTCTGAGGGAGCTGACAAGTTCCTCCAGAGAGATTTTGTTGAGATCCTTAGCTAGCTTTAGCGCTGTGACCATTGACCTCCACTGTTTTGGCAAGCTTCTGATGATCTTCTTAACATGATCAGCAGTAGAATACCCTTTGTCCAGAACTTTGAGACCAACAACCAGAATTTAAAATCTTGAGAACATCGTTTCAATTGATTCACGTTCTTCCATCTTGAATGCCTCATACTTCTGAATGAGCGCAAGAGCTTTAGTTTCTTTAACTTGAATGTTGCCTTCATGCGTCATTCTCAGAGAGTCAAACATATTCTTTGCAGTGTCTCTGTTTGATATCTTTTCATATTCAGAGTAAGAGATGGCGCTGAGAAGAATTGTTCTTGCTTTGTGATGATTTCTGAAATCACGCTTTTGTTGATCAGACATTGCTTTCCTGTCAATCTTCTGACCACTTGCATTAACTGGATGCGTGTATCCATCAGTTACCATATCCCACAGATCAGCATCGTGGGCCAAAAAGAAGCTTTCAATTCTGTCTTTCCAGTAATCAAAGTTCTCTCCATCAAAGACTGGAGGTTTGCCACTGAATCTGTCTCTTTCTTCATTGTTGTCATTGCTGATATTTTGATGTGGTCCTGCCATTGTGTTTTTCTAACGCTGGATCTTGTACTGACACGGTTAAGTGTTATAAACTCAGAACCATGCGCTTTGATGCCAATTGAAGATGTGAAAAACACAAGAAGGGGGGTTGAATTGTAAAACTTGAAATCAAAAGCAGACAACACGTTATTTTTATCCTGGTTCGTTTGATCTCAAACTACTCCAGTCCACCCGTCAAGGTGATTTCGCCTCTCTCCAACGAGGTCTTAATCCACTATATTCAACTGAATACGCAACTGCTTTAACAACTGTTAAAGTCTTCTTGAGTCTAACCACAGACCGGTTTATCTCAAGGAATTTCTTTTACAGATAAATGAACTAATGTGTGTTTGATGTTTTCTAGAAAAACTATATATCACAACTGTGATAATACATAATATGAAGCTTATAATGACTTAGACTGCTAATGCTATTGAGTAGGCGTGGTTGAAAGCTTTAGCAATTTGAGTGAGAGAGATTTCGTATGCGTGCGTGCGTAAAGAGTATTAGCCAATTCTTTTCTCACTGACTTGTTTAAGTAGCCTAGGAATAGATATGTTGTTGTCCATAAATCCATTTCAATGTTCATAACGTTCTTTCCTTTTTGAGAAGATCTTTGTCTTGGAATAAAGTCGTTGGTAATTAATTTGTCTTGAATGCATAGTAACGTTGACACTTCAGAATATTCTGCTTAATCAAAATCAGAGTGTTCTTGGCTTTAGCTTATTCTGACGCTACAGAGTACTGGTGACATGGTAAGTATCTTGCTCAGAGTCAGAGTATGTTTTTGCGCAGATTCTGTTCATCAGGCTTTCGTGTATAGCACATGTTTGATCTTCTGATGCTGACATATCTTCTGATGCTGATGTTGATACTGATATTCTGATGCTGATTCCATCAGAGTTTCTGTAAATACAAAACATAATTTTAAGTAGCATATATGTCTTATATAAATCTTATAATTTATTTAATCTTGTATTTTGTTATCATCAAAACTCTAACTAAGGGTTGTAGAATCAAACTATGTTCTAACACAACAGTCTTCACACGAGCTTGTTTTAATTAACTTCTCCATCAATCATTGGTTCAAGGTATACATATCGAATAAATTTGTTCCATCTGATTCTTCTCAACAATGGACGTGTTTCTCTAATTAAGCATGACTCATCTTCATTTGCTTATGATATGAAAGTTGTGTGCTTTGGACTTTATGCAAGATGTTCTCATATTAATTAAGAATCAACATTGAGTCACTTTGGAGTGTAAGATGTATTGATGAGAGAGCTTCGATTTTGGTCAAAGTCAACTTTGAGAAACTGAATTTTTGGCCAAAATCCTCCTTATACCTCCTTGCATTTTATCTTACTTTCAAGTTTCTAAATCTTATTTCATTGAAAAGAGGGAAATTCATCATTTAAAACTATTCAAGTTCATTCATGAGTTTGGATTTTATCTCAAATATTCGACAAAGTTCAAGCATTCAAGGCATGGCATGTTATGTTATTAAGATCAAGAAGAAACAAATATACTTCAAGCCAAAGGTTCATATATTCAAGTTGAAAAAATGAAGGTACATGGCCCAAGATCAAACAAAATTAGGCATTCATTCAAATTCCAAAAACCATCGTTCAAATACAAACATTACAAGTCCATAAATTCATCCATTCAAGAACCATTATAAAAATTTCACAAAAATACTATCCTAAACCTATGCCATTCGTCGTCAATCTTCATGCTATTTCATCTACCTATGCCATTCATCGTCAATCTTCATGCTATTTCATCTTTCAATCCTTGCTCACTTCTCAAACTTCTAACAATGCACATGCCCTGGACATTCTCTTCTTACTCCCTTCGCCAATACCACATAATCAGACTCGGCTTTTATTCAAGTAAATGGACAGCCCTGCATTTTGTTCAAGAAGTTCACCATATCAGTTCAGAATAAATTAGGATATAGAAAGGATAACAGAAATTGTGGAAATTCAAGAAAAGAAAACCGGTTTCATTCGAAGTCATAAAATTCATGACAGAAAGTCATTAACCCACTGTTACATAAACCACAGCCCTGTTTAAATAAAGCATATACAGAAAATCAGAATTCGTAAACTACCCGATCCTCCAAAACCAAATGCCAACTTCACTAACTGGTTGTTGTTTATAACAAAAACTACCTTCAAATTCAGTTATCAACTAACAGAAAAACTAACTTAGCCCAACTAACCAAAGCAGTTGCTAACAGAATCCAAAATCTCTGACAAACTTTTTCCAACCTCTAACAGATTATTAACGGATTCATAACAGATTTCAGAAGGAGGATTCAGACCGATAGAATTATTCATGATAGATTATTAGAAACTCACAGAGAAAACTAACCTTTATTCAATTCCTTCTTCAACTCTTCTAGAAGAATCACACAAACACAGAAAAATCTCAGAAGTGATTCATTATTTACAAACTCATAGAAAAATCTCAAAAAACTCACCAAGAAAACCTCTCAAGAAACCCTCTCTCTGAAATCTCTGCTTCAAGCATCTTCGATCTCCATCTTCCTCAATCTATCTATCTCTTGCTGAACTTTGACTTCTCTCTGAAACTTTAAGACTCCCTAAGCCTTATCTACATTTCTAAAGTTCAAACATAATTGTCACGTCTCTGCTTCAATCAACAATCTTCTGCAAATCCATCAACAATCCGCAATTTCAACATCGCATCTTCATCTCTGCAACAACAACGATATCACAACATTGAACGCATCAGAATCTTACAATAAGAACATGCATCGCAGCGTCGAACTCCTCTACGATCTCGATTTTCAACGACATCAACGCGAATTCATAATAAAGCAGGAAGAAGAAACGCAATACCTCCTACGTTGTTGTTTATCATTTCCGCCGATGAAGACGCGTCGGAACCGCTGTGAGAACCAAGGTCGACGGAGAGGTCAAAGCGAACGAAAGTTGAGTCGAGTTTGAGCGCTGAGATGAAAATTATGACCGAGGCTACATCGCAGTTGGCACGATGCATTCATGGAGTCCGAATCACTTCACGAATCGGTGCTGAGCTAAAGCTAACACAAATGGCGGATTGAAACGAAGAAGAAGAGATTTGTGTTGGGAGTAGCGTCGGAGATAAGCAAAGAAGAAGGAAGAGCGGAACAATGTCGAATGGTGGAGAAATCTTTGGAGTTTGAAGACGATGTAGCCGCGCCGTTTGAAGCTCGTGAGGATGAAGAAGCTTGTTCTTTGTAAAAGCTGAATCGTCACCATTCTAAACCCTATCTCTTCACTAAACACATCGTTTCATCATCATGCATTTTTTTCTTTTACTATTTTTCTTTGTATTTGGTTAATAGAAACTAAACAAAAATCTAATGGCAGGTTGGAAGTGGAATGATGGGCTTCAGCGCTTTGTCCCAATGCAAATTGCTCATACACATACCCTTGCCAGATCCACATACTTCCTGGCCTCAGTCTTTTTTTTTTTTATCTTTTTATATTTCTACTTCTAAATTTATGATTCTCTCTTTGTAATTTTTTTGGTATGATTTTAATGTTTCTTGATGATAAATGTGACGTGTGTTTAGTTCTGATTCTTAGGTTAATTTTCATTAATTTTGTTCAAGAAGATGTGTTGGAAAGTAATTGGATATTGTCCTTAAAAATTAATATTTTGTATTGTTCTTGTCGATTTCTTATCTTTGATTCAATTTTCCTTGATATGATGAGTGTTTTAATGGAAAGTTATGATCTTGGGATGTTGGATTAAATGATTGATTTTGGTTATGTTCATAGAAGTCTCATAAACTTGATAAAAAAAGACTCGGAGGAAGATCTCAAGAAGTGTCTAAGTAAATTAAGAGTCTAATCTTCATCAAGGAAGTTCAAGGAAGCTTTGGTAGAGTTTTCTTATCTCTTACATGGCTTTAGAGAGGCAATGAACCTTCTCCGTTAGGTATCAATTGGATTTCTTTTACCTCTTTTTTGTAGTTGCATCTAAAGTCCTACCTTGAAGTAGGCAATTTTTTACTTGAAGACCTATCTCAAAGTAGGCAATTTTTTATTATTTGAAGACCTACCTTAAAGTATGCAATGTTTGATTTAAAGTCTTACCTTGAAGTAGACAATTTATGATTATGTAAAGACATACTTTGAAGTAGGAAATTTTTGATTATTTAAAGACCTACCTTGAAGTAGGCAATTTCGGATGATTTAAAGTCCTACCTTGAAGTAGGTAATTTCTGACTTAAAGTCCTACCTCGATGTAGGTGATATTTCTTTTCCGTATGCACTTGTGCAACAGTTTGGGGATTTTCCTCACATAAACTTGAAATGGGTTTTATGTTTCATTAAGTGATCACGTGATTGGCAAGCTTTGTGATTGATCATATATCAAAGAAGATTTGTGTAGAGTTTTCTTATTGCTCGTGTGGCTTTGAAGAGGCAATAGGCCTTCTCTGCTATGTATCACTTGAGCTCTCTTTACTTTCTCATTTTTGTATCATTTTCGATTAATCTTGTCGTTAGAAGTAGGATAGAGATGCATGACTGGAAGTCCTACCATTGTAGGCTATATTTTCTGAGTAGCTAGGAATTAATTTGTGATGATAGAAATTGTTCATGTCATCTTGTGAATTTTTGTTTGATGCTTGTTAGCATGTCCACCTTGTTAGGTGATGATTGACCTAGATCTTGTTAGATTTAGGGATTAATTATTAGGATTGTGCTTGTTAGCATGTTCACCTTGTTAAGTGATTATTGACCTAGATCTTGTTAGATTTAGGGATTCCTTGTTAGAATTGTGCTTGTTAGCATGTTCACCTTGTTAGGTGATGATTGACCTAGATCTTGTTAGATTTGGGGATTCCTTGTTAGGATTACGCTTGTTAGCATGTTCACCTTGTTAGGTGATGATTAACCTAGATCTTGTTAGATTTAGGGATTCCTCGTTAGGATTATGCTTATTAGCATGTTCACCTTGTTAGGTGATGATTTGCCTATATCTTGTTAGATTTAGATATTCCTTGTTAGGATTTTTCTTGCTAGCATATTCACATTGTTAAGTGATTATTGAGCTTGATTCTAGTTAGACTTAGGTCTAAGGATTGAATTGTGTGATCACTTAGTTAAGTCTATTTCCTTGATGCATGAGATACATTTGATGTTCATCATTTGATTGTTACCCTTTCTTTGATGTTGCTACATTGTTTGACTTGTTATTCCATGTGCCCATAGGATTTCTCGATTCAATCTTAGTTAAGATTTGAATTGAGATAAACATTAGGTTTGTAAACCATGCATGCTAACACTAGGTAGATTTTCCCTTTTTGTTAATCTTAACTTCAGGGCCACCATTGTATGATAACATTAGGAATAGAATTTCCCTTAGATTTTTTCATTCCCCTTTTGCATCCTTAAAACTAAAAACTCTTTTTTTCTTTATCAAATGTCAAAAACATCTAACTTTGCCTTCGGGCCGCCTTCGGGCTTTTTCTTTTGAAAACCTTTTCAGGTAATAACATGTTAGTTCCTTTCTATGACAATGCGTGAGTCTCCAAGGGTAGAGTTGTAGTAGAATATGAAACTTAACATTGTTCAATTAAAAAACACAAACAAACTGAAACTTTTGAGCTGAACTGCGGAGCTCTGATTCCTTAAAAGGGATACGTATGCATTAGGTTGTAGAGCCTAAGCAAGAACAACTATTTAAAACCTTTGTTTTCCTTGTATTTATCTTTTTCATTCATTACATTCCTTTAGCTTATAAGTTTAGACAGACACACCATTTGATTAGAACAACAAGAGTGAATTTAGTGGAGTACCACAAATGTGAGGGGTTCTAATACATTCTCCTTGTGTAATCGACTCTCGTACCCTTCTCTTGGTCATAGGACCTTATTCTCACTTCATGTTTACTTGATTTTTTCCTTTCCCTTCTTTGGGACAAATAACATTCGATGGCGACTTCATTGTTCATTTTTCTATTTGCCTCACCGCGTATGAACCATTCTAGAAATGGAGGTACGAATGCCAAGCCGAAATCAACATTTGGCAGTTTTAGGAATCTCGAAGGTTCTAGCTTGAAATCTATCTCATACCGGTGTTCGGGTTTAACGCACGGAGGAAGGCGAAAGTTGGCAACCTTTTTCATAAACTTTTCCTTCAAAGTTATTGTTGCATCATGGATGGTTTAGCTAAGATTATCTTGTCTATACGCAGTTTCAAAGTACTTTTGCAATGCGTGAATCTCCTTGATGTGAGTGGTCGTACCTTTCCTGAAGCGGTCTTCTATTATGGCAAAAGCACAAGTTAGGTGTCTGGTAAAATCAGACACATTGAATATTTCGTTGGTGTAGTAATCCTTCCACCAAGTGTCAAACTCATGTGTGCAGTAAAATAATGGTGAAAATGAGATAGGTGTGAGCATGGTTTTTCCAACATATCGAGCCATGTACCTTTTATAGCCTTCTTTAGTAGAAAACATGCTATGGATGCATAGATGTTTCTTCTTCTCAAAGAGTGGTCTAGGTTTTATCTAGTTTAAGCCAATCTGTCGAGAAACCAGATTGGGTTGATAGCTGACGAGGGTATAATGACTCTTCAAAGGCATTAGCATGTTGACAGGTAGTTTGGGGGTGAGGAATACTTCCCAAATAACCATGGATTATTCTTCTTGATCTTGGGAAGGAGCAGGAAATTATCTTGTGAACCATTCATGACCCTATGTCCTATTGACGAAAGGGGCCATTGAGGGAGTGAAGTTGTAACGCTTGGCGAACATCATCACAAACAAAGCGGACGAGTCTGGAAGATGAAATCCTTCATCACGAGGTTTCAAACGAGCTAATCTCCTTTCTTCGACGGTCCTGTTATTTATAATACCATATTCTTCATTGATGGTGTTGTATGTCGGAAGTTGTTGTACCCTAAAATTTTCCCTCCCATTTTTCATACAAGATACAATCCTAGGGTTCTCGAATATTCAATTTGGATCAGAAATTGATCAGACAAATTCTCTTCCCAGGCAGTAAATCAGCAATTAGGGTTTTGCATTTCTCAAAAGAAAATTGAGTTTTCAAGGTTTCAAATGGTCTTCATAGGTCTTCATGTCTCCTCAAGATTTATTTAAGTCAGTTTTCAAACCTCGCATTGCAAGTTTGCTCAATCAATGGTTCATATAACTGAAAACAACTACATCGACCCAAAAATTGACCTTTTGCGAGAACAAATTCAAACGATCGTAACTTCTTCATTATTCAATATTTTGAGCGATTTTTCTTGTGTATGATTCTCCTTGATGCCATCTCCAATCTCTCTTCACAAATCAAGAACTGATTATGCATAGAAGATCACCAAAATTCGAATGCGTTGAAAGTCGCATCATGAATTTTGACCTAATTTCAAATAACAGTCATCTGATTTCTAAGAATTATGATTTCTTCAAATTACAGGGCTTTGAGACGATTATTTCTGTTCATGGTCATATGTGATGATGCTCACGGGTTTATTTTCAAAGAATCAAAGGAAATTTGTGTCTGGAAGACTTTTAAATTATCGAATCGTCATAAGGCATTTGTTGATTTTGAATTTTTCTTAACCACAGTTTACTGAAAGACTGACGATTGTTCTTAGGGCATGTTTGATTGGACAAGATGTGAAGATTAAGACTATCATTTAAAACAATCATGATTTTGGATTCAAGTTGATCAAATGAATTACATTCTTAAACATTTATTTTGTTTAGGAATTAGAGTACAAGGTGCATGTTTGTTTGAAATACAAATCACAAGATCATTTGTGATTGCTTAGAATTCAAGTTATCGGACTAAAGTATTTCATTTCAAACCGTTCCAATTGGGAATTTCAAAAAATTCATTTAAGATACAAAGATCTATACAAAAATCCCATCATACAAGTTTGTTCAAGGCTTTGTATTGTTACATCGCAAATAAAAGTAAATTATAAAGTTTTGTCTTATTTACAAAGAGTTATAGTTTCTTATTTTCAAAGAGGGAGTGTTGTTTCTTCGTGGCTTCATCTTCAAGTAAGCCATCCAACCATCGTTTTCATCCAAGTCTCGCTTGCCGTTCATGAAACAAGAAAAGAAAAGTTAGCAAAAAAAATTTCAAAGTGAAGTAATATGTGAAAAGAATAATTCATCATTAGGGTTTACAACTTGGAATCAGAATGTTTGTTTTATCACAATCCATTTGCCCCAATTGCAAATCACAAAAAAGGGTTGCCCTTCTTGGTTCACAAAAAAAGGCAAA